AATTTATATCCTTATGAAAAATTTACATTTTTTCAAGGAAAGCCAAACTGATTAAAAAAAAACGAAGTTCATTTCCGAAATTAGCGCTAAAATTCAACCAGGCAACAATCTTAAACTTTTTAGCAGACCAGCCCTTGTTGACTGGTGCAATTTATTCAAAAAGGCCGGATCAGGAAAATATTTTAAAGGAAATAAATGGGTCAACTTTTTCTTTTTATCATATGCGTTTCACTGTGCCTCTATTTTACAAGGTGGACCAAAAATCATCCTATTCAAAAAAATTACCCGAAAAAATGTGTCGAGTCACTTGAATCTCTTTCACTATTTGCCTGGCAGCAAATCAGAACCAACTCCTGCCAGTTGTCTCAGCTTCATTGATATCGAGGCTTATGGGCAGTCGAACGATTTTTAAAAAGAAAAACGGATTCGTTTGAGTATACATGGTGGGCCAAAAGTAACTGAAAAGTGTAAATAACTTTTGAACAAAAAGAGATATAGGGTTCCGGTTTGGATTATTGCTCATTGTGGCAAGGGGCTGATTTTTTCAGGGGGACTCCCTTGGGGGCCCCATTAATGAGCCCCCTTGAAAAAATCAGCCCCTTGCCACATTGAGCGATGATCCGAACCAGAACCCTATATCTCTTTTTGTTCAAGAGTTATAGACACTTTTTATTTACTTTTGGCCCACCCTGTATATTTTCTGGAAATTGTTCTGGGTGAGAATTCTGTCTCGGTATTAACTTAACTAGCTCCTATAAAGTTTTTTCCTTAACAAAAATAAACAAATTAAACAGCTCTGGTGACAGGAATATTTATACACATATATAAAAGCACAACGTTTCGGCTGAAAACTCAACCTTCCTCAGTTGGATAAAAGACAATAAAAAATTTAGAAATCCAAAATCTTAGTGCTCGGCTGTACCTTTCAAAACAAGGAGAATATTGTTATTTTGGTGCCCTTAACCTGGGATACCTTTTAGTTGTTTTCATAAGCAAATGGTAAAAATATAAGGTCATTTTTAGCTTCAGTAGGAAAACAATGGGCGGGAATAGCCCAATCAAACACCTAGGGAAAAAGGTTTCTGGTCTTTTGAAATGCAAATTAATAACATTCATTTCATCTGGCACCGTTAATTTTTGCGCACCATTTGACCTGTAAAACATCCTTATTAGAAACAGTGGGATAATGAGATAATTCGTAGCATGTTGTGTAAACAACATTCTTCTCGTTTTGAAAGGTATAGCAACCGAGTCCTGAGATTTCAATTTGTACATTTCTTCCTGTTTTTTATCCAACTTAGGAAGGCTGAGTTTGTAGCCGAAACTTTTTGGTGTTATTTGTGTGGAAAAAAACCTTAATTGTTACCCGCTATTTAATTGCTTATTATTGCATATTATCTTGTGACGGCTGCGGAGCATCTAACTTATCTCATATAATTTCATTTAGAGCCCTGTTTAAAAACACAAGCTGGGAATTCTTCTGAACAAGTAAAAATAAATTGGATTCTAGTTATTTTTTAGTTTTGAAAATTTTATATAATTATACTGAAGAATTTTCTCCTAAGATTCTTCATTTATCATAAATTTATCTGTTCCCATGCCCAGTTGAAACGGAAGTTTTCTCTAATGTGTGCTAGACAGTTTATGAATCTGCTGAATCAAATGAGTAAACAGTTGACAGTGAGCGCCCATCGTCCTAAATTTGCAACAATTTCAAAATATCATTGTTAAGCGCACGTGAAGATAGACACGCAAGCTTAACTTCGAGGTTGCCGAATTATATTGAACATTATGCCCAAATTGTTTAGCTAAGAAAATTGTAAGGCAAAGGCTGATAGATTCTCCACACCCCCCCCCCCCCCCTAAAGAGAAAAAATACAGGCAAATGGACACAAAAAGGTGCTTTGGCTTGCAAAGTTACCAAAAATTGTTGCGTAAAATGTTCTTTTTGTAATTTCAGTACCTGTCAGATTTAGTGCCGAATAGTAAAACCCAAAATTGCATTCAGCAATCATAATTACACAAGAAACACTGCACAAAACCTTTCGGAAATTTTGCAATGAGGTTAAAGTCTCATTTGCATGAATGATATAATACATTCGTAAGGGAGAAACGAAATAATTATTATTGTTGTTTATTATCATCGTTAAAATAGAATGGGTAGTGTCCGAACATTGGGTTACAAGAAGTTTTGCCTCAACAGATCATTAAAAATGGAAGTTTACAAATCGAAAATCAGGCATTTTCATGGTCCTCGGCAATCAAGACCCCATTAACGTTCCAGAAAACTCAACCTTAATAAATAGTTGTGCAAGCTGCTATCAACCTTTTACTGCTCCGATGGACCACGCTAAAAAGGAAGGAACCAAGCCACATCAGCTATGGCCTTTATTTGGGAAATTTAATATTTTACATGAAAACGGTTGAGCGAATTTCTATGGAAATTTCTGTGAATTTCCTTGCCTGGTACGAAGCGAGGTCCTTGAAATGTTCAAAGGAATCCGCACCAACGTTCTCTTGAAAAAATTAAAGTTCCCACTTAAATTTGGCAATAGTTGGTGCGACTTAATTTCTTTCCGCCAAACGCGGTCCACTTCATTCTTTTTAAAGTTGTTTCTTACGATTAGCTTTTTTTCTCTTTTATCCCCCAACGTCTGAAGCCCTACCTAATTGTGTCTAAATGCTTTGAATCGGTTAAAATCCGGTTGCTCACTGGAAAAATAATACATTGGATCTAGAGTCCAGACTCTTAAAAACATCGACAAGAAAAAGTACTCATGATTCAATCAGAATCTAGCATAAATCAAGAACCAAGCCTCTTAATTTAAGCGGATTTCGTTTTGATTCAAGCAAAAATCCGATTGAATCGTCAAGAGTACTTTTGCTTGTCAATGTTTTCAAGAGTCTAGACTCTAGATCCAATGTGTTTTTTTCCGGTGTTGGCCCCTGAAAAAAGTGCTGATAGACGCGAAAAATGAAAGAGCATGATACAAAACGAAGCACATTTTGTATTGAAATGTGGACATTGGACTTTCCAGATGCGCCAAACGTTTTTCTCACTCAATTTTACCGAAGAAATTTTACTTTTCGGTTCGATGTTGCTCTCTCATGCGATAAACCAATTATAAGATTATAGCTTGATAAGAATGCTCCAATTCGTCGCCTACCTGACATAAGGACGTAACTACACTCTGTAATAAGCCCTATCTTCCATACAATTCAATGCTTTTCCGGGCTCATTTCAATGTGTAGTTACGCCCTTATGTCAGCCAAGTGACGAATTTTTTAGCAGGATAAATCATCCTACTACTTCGATACTGGATGCATGTATTTTTCCCTCATCAAAAATGCGGTTACTTATTTTCGAAATTGTACAGGTGCAGTCAATTGTTCTTTCTTTATTTTTGTTATTTCGTGTATTTTTAAACAGGATGAAACATGGCACGCGATAAATTAAAGCAGCGCTTACCGGAAAAGATACGTGTAGTTCCGGAATAGAAAGTTCACCGAAAAAAAGTGAAGTTGACGTTCTGGATGTAAAAAAAAGTGCGTGAGAAGTTACAAAATGCTGAATTAACCGCTATATCAGTTACTTCAGCAATGTCCTGATGTAAAACTAACGACTGTAGCGGGTGATCTAGCATTTTGTGAGTTCTCGCACACTTTTTTTACATCCATAATGTTAAATTAACTTCACTTTGTTTCGGTGGTCTCTTAAAAAAGAACAAATATTATGAAAAATATTGAAAGTCTGCATGAAAGTTAATAGCAATGGTGTGAAAAATGCGTGAAATTTTACTTCTGCAAAATGCATAACTGCAAGACATTTCTTTGAAATATTAGCTTTGTTTAAATAAAATTGATACACTTCACTGTCTTTTTTAAGTTTTGCCTGCAAACTGAATTTTAGCTGCCCAAAAGCGTGTTATCTGGTCAAATTGACGATGACTGCCTCATAAAAAATGACATACAGCTGTCTCCAAATATAATACTTAATATGAAGTATTAAATAAAATGCAGAAATAAGGTGACTCGATGGCCACAATATTTTGTGTCAGAACGAAATTCGATATTTCGTATCGATTAGTTCCTTTTTTCCGTAAACGCTCGTCACTTTTCTCAAACGAGATCGCAACTCTGCTGTCAAGAGACCAAAGAATTAACTTACCAATTTTAACAAACAAATTTAAGGCAATAAAGGCGTGGATTTTTTAGAGGAAAAATATCGCATTCGAGTGCAATTCGATATCAGTATCGAATGCGATATTTTTCCTCTAAAAAACAACGCCTTTATTACGTTGAATTTGTTTGTCAAAATTAGTAACTGAATTCCGTAGTCTCCTGAAAACAGACATGCAGTCTTAAAATTCGAGAAGAATGACGAGTAGCTGAAAAATGGAACTAATCGATGCGATATATCGCATGTCGTTCTGACACAAAGTATGGCATCCGTTGAATCACCTTAAGCTTTTCAGGTTCGTGAGGCTTTACATTACATTATGTTATTCCCGATGCGGGGTACGTATCAAGAGGTATAGAAGTTTACTAACTAGGAGCTTAGTTTGACCGTAATCAGTGGTGGCAGCCATATTAAATCTACTTTCTTGTTTTTTGATGCTCGAATTATAATTTAAATATAATATGTATACATCGAACGGATGAAATTAAAGAAATTCCAAAGGATTCAATTTATGCTATAAAAGTTTTAAAATATCATGGTTTCATTCGGAAACAGCAGTTTCTTCCAAACACAGACTCTGAGACTGAGCAAAGTTTATCCACGTTGTGGTAAATTATGAGTGTGAAAAGCGATTTGATACTTTTAAATTCTCAAATATGTCAATAATTGATAACTTTTTGCATTAATAATTATTATTCATACAGAAAAAAATTAGTCTATCTATGTTGTAGTCATTCGTTTCCAAAAATTGAGTGTGATGCAATTGAAAGGATAGCCTCGAATTATGAGACTAGACATTTATATGAAAAGAGACGACACATTATAAAAAAGTACAAACATATTTATACACAAAAAATTACACATAACAAATAAAATTTCTTAAACATATTAAAACTTATGCTGCAAAAATAACAAATTCTTTGGTGTCAAATTAATTTAAAGCAGCTCATTAAATGCAAATGAACTGCTTCGTGGCCTATTTGATAACGTGCTCCCCAGTAGAAGTTTATCTCACTGATTTCTCTCTTTTATAAAAGTATTTTACGTCCAAAAAATACACTAAAAAGAGAATGACTCCTTCGCTCGGGAAAGGGGCCACTGTTAAGCACAGCAGTATAAACAAATATTGAGCTTTGCATTTTTAACACCAATGTAGTCAAATTCTTTCTTTTTTCACGATCTCAGTCATGCCAAAACAAATAACAATCGATTAACTTACAAATAAAAAAAATCGTTAAGCACGATAAATGAGGTACACAGTTTCAAGTAACTCCGATGTAATTCTGCCTCATTGAAGTTGTAAGTTACATCTAACTCATTAGTTTGATTAATCAAATAAGCCGAATCTAGAGAGCACAATTTTTTAGTACACAAATCATAATTTCCTCTTACCGCTTGAAACTTGTTCGCGAATATTGAATAAGTAAGGTACTCTAGCAACTCACAACAATACTCTAACAAATTTACAACAAGTTTGGAGAGGAATACCAAATCATGATTCCCCTTACAATGTCGTGTTCACGCGGATTACCAGTGACCTTGTTCATGCAATTCATCGGTTACCTTGACGACTTTTCGCAACAGTGACGATGTGAAATTGTCTTCCATCTCAGATTTTTTATTGGTCAAATACTGATCAGCAGGGATTGGATATGATACTTGGAGGCCTGGAAGAAAACATTCTCTACAGATTTCATGAAATGTTTTAAATGAAATTTCCCTCGATACATAAACCAGTATAGAAATCATGTATAGATTATCAATGAAGATAAACGTATCGAAATTGTAAAAACGGTTTTCGAATGCGTATGCAAATGCTTGTTAATGTAATAAAAAATTTTAATTTTTAATGTTGTTGGAAAGTTGGATGGAATCTACTGAAAGTTTTACAGAATCAAAATTTTGATTGAATATTGGTCATCTAAGAGAGCAAAAAATCGGGGCTCACTTTTTCCCTTCTGATGATTTTTGATTGGAAAAATATTTACAATCTTCGGGGAGGAAAAGTGAGTAACCCCCATTACGTGTAACACAATAAACCGAAGACACAAGAATCAATGGGAAAAAAATATTTGCATAGGAATGATTTGTTTACGTTGCTGCACTGAGAAATACGACTCGTTATCATAGAGATAATTTTCTGAAAAATATGACTTGATGATTTTTTCCCTAATTGAAACCAAAATAATGTTCCTGGTTCCTGGGAATAAAAATATGAATCGAACGGCTTGAATCGGAGTCAGTCTAACTAACTACATCAGACTTTGCCTACTTTTCCCTGATACTTTAGTCATTAAAGAGAAAGCCAAGCAACACTGAAACTTGAAACCATGGAGTAAATTCTTCTGTATGATCTATGATAAATTCGCGAACAGTTTAGAGATGCTATGTTATCAGTTCTCTCTCAAACACTGGAAAAAAAGTCGCGTGGATCCAGAGTCCAGACTCTTAAAAACATTGACAAGAAAAAATACTCTTGATTCAGTCGGACTTTTTGCTAGAATCAAAAGGAAATCCGCCTAAATCAAGAGGCTCGGCTCTTTAATTCAAGGGGAAATGCGATTGAATTAAGAGTATTTTTTCTTTTTAATGTTATTAAAAGTCTGGACTCTAGATCCAAGCGATTTTTTTTCCCCAGTGAAAAATAAAACATGATAGAAAATTAGGCGACGCGAAATGCAGTTCTGCTCAAATCTGCCCAATTATTCTCTTACTAGAAAAATAATTAATGTCGCAACAAAAAATCAAATAATTAAAAATTACCATTATGATAACGAGTCTTATTTCTAAGTGCACTGAACCAAAATGTCTTAAATAACTAAATTTTCAGGACGCGGTCAAAATTAAGGAATATTCTTGGCAACGGGCTCCATCAATGCCTTCAGTGCAGTATAAACGCCAGACAATCTCTTCCTCAAAAGCTCCTCGACAGTGCTGTAAAGTTTCTCATCGGTAGGGGCGGGGGAGGCTGCCTTGGGCATTTGGATCATGGGTTCATGAACCGCCGCGGTAGGGGATTGAGCTGAAGATTTACCTGAAACAATGGGCTGTTCAGGGAGGCTGTCCGGCTGAGCGCTGCGCCCCGTCGAGTGGGGTGCGGGCCCCCATTTCCCTGAAACGTCCACGTTCCATCCCTTGGCTGACCCTTGGAATTCTTGCGTGATTTTGTGGTCACCTGGTTGCTGACCTCTGTGGTTGGGAGTTTGTGCACTGCGCTGAGAGTCTTCAGCCATCATTTGGGCGGATTCGGGCGCGTAGTTTTGCCTGAGGATAGGGTGCATATCGGGTGTTCGTTGAGACTGAGGCCAGCTTTGGTAGTTCATCTGATCAAAAGATCTCATCTGGACATGGAAAAGAGCGGATTGGATTAAGATTTGGATACATGCAATAAGAACTTACTTTTAATACCGTTAGGGGACTACACAAGTTGAAATTCTTTAAAAAATTATTTAAAAACACAAAGATAAAACACACTCACTTGCGTAAAATTGTATATAAATATTTATACAATTTTACGCAAGTGAGTGTGTTTTATCTTTGTGTTTTTAAATAATTTTTTAAAGAATAAGAACTTAACTTGTCAATTGAAACAGTACTTTTAAAAAGGGCCTAAGTCTAATTTTTCAAACTAGTTTTTTTGTGTTTTTAAAGCTCTTTTTACGTGACATTTGCGTTCCTGTACATATTTTACTGGAGTCCCTAGAAATGGAATGTCGCTGCATTCTTGGGTATAATAGTAATGACAACCGGAAGGTTCAAAAATGCAAACAATTTTGAAAAATTGACTTCCACCGTTTTGAAAAGCGCTTATTAGTTGTGTTATTTTACGAATCAATGGTGCACTCTTCTAAAAATAAAACTTTTGTTTTAAAAACTAGGATTATAATTAATCCATTCACTGTGAAAAAATTGCAAAATTTTGACAAATTCTGTATGAAACGTAATTTTACATGCATTCTGTATTTAAAAATATATGGAGAATCTCGAAACTTACTTCACACTGCACATGAGCTCTTCGTGTAATTCTGATACTTTCAGTTGCTCATACTTTTAATTTAAGAATTTTATTTTTTAATAACAACTATCCTGTTTTATTCCTTTGTATAAAATCGCAGAATTTTATAACATTCTTTCAACTAAATCTTATTCGAAATTCCTTTACTCTAGGGTAGTTTTCGTTTTAGGCTAGACCTTTATTTGTACAGCCTTTCTGCATTTATTAAGCTTAAAAAGACGAAGAAAAAAAATAGCATAGCTCTTACTATTTCAGGTCAAACTTACTCTCGTATCATAGTTACAGTTTTAATTTTGAGGCAACACTCTGCTTTAGTCCCAATTACAATGCTGAATTGAGGGGCTTGAAGGACAAGGCGCATAAGTGCAGTTTCGGAAAAAATTGAGCTATTAACGATTTCAAATTAAACTAGTCTTAATGCATATTCTCTGAAACATTCGCTCCCAAATTCCAATTTTTTAGCATCAAAAAGTCAGTTCGAACTTTCTTTCGCCCATAAGGATCCGTGTAATTTCAACACTTCAATCACGTATTTCTCAAAATAGCAGAAACTGCACTTATCGCCTTGTCCTCCAAACCCCTCAATTGTTACCGGTGCGAACATCATTCTTACCACAGTAATTACATTTTAACTAGAAAATTAGGTTGAACTTGAAATTCACTAATATCACTATAAGAGCAAAAATTATTTTAATTCTTTGGTATTTGTACACTCCCGGATTTACTCTCATTGAAATAAGTAGAAAAAATCAACAGGTCTCACCTGAGGTCTTGAGAGAAATTCCGGTGACAAAGGCATTCCAGGGACGTACTGCAGGGGCTGCTGATACCCACGAAATTGAGGAGCGGGGTACTGCTGATACCTCATGTTGCGTGGGTTCCAAACCGGGATTGTCCTCTGCATCTGCGGGTAACGGAGCTGGTTGCGCTGGATCATCATAGGTCCTTGGGGTTGCGGGTATCGGAATTTGTCCGGCTGGGCCATTGGTCCCAAAGGCTGCGGGTAAAGAAGCTGTCCTGGCTGAGGGTGCGGGGCGCGGAACTGTTCTGATTGGCTGATCAATCCCTGGGGCTGCGGAGCAACAGCTTGTTCCGGTTGACTGATTAGGTCTTGAGGCTCCAAGGCGCGAAGTTCATCAGGCTGACGGAAGTGTCCTTGAGGGTGCGGGTTTATCATCATGCTTTGGGATTGAGGATAGTGAGGTTGGTCGGCCAGCATGGGTAGTCCGATGGGTTGGGGCATTTGACGTCCGTGGAGGCTGACGTCTTGTCCTGCGGCAGGGTAGTAGTTACCGTACTTCTGTTGGAAGGGTGTGGGCATCGATGATGGTTGAGAAGCGTAATTGGCAGGGTTGGCTCTCTGGTCCAAAGGGAGGGGCTCGAGGCTTTGCTCATTGCGGAATTCACCTTGGCTTGGCTGGATTGCGCAGTTCCATACGTAGCGGGATCTCTGGTCGATGTCTTCAGGTTTCGTCCCTACAGGGACTGGTTTCGGCTTTGCAGGTTCAGGCTTCGGTTCAAAATGTGCTGGGGTATAGGAGCCTCCGGTGGTGGTTGGGGCTTTTACGGGGGTGGGTTTAGGTTTAGCAGGGGCGGAGGCGGGCTTAGGGGGTGGAATTGACTGGATTTCAGGGGTGTAGAGATTAGGGGGTGCAATTGGCTGTGCCTCAGGGGTGTAGAGATTTTGGGGCGCATGGTAGGATGGTGCGGAAGCTGGGGCGGGCGCCGGCGCGGGGGCGGTGTGTTGAGGGGCGGGTGCAGATGCGAGATGATATGCGGGGGCAGAATATTGGGGTGAGGACGGAGAATAGGAGTATTGGTAGTGAGGGTACTCGTGGGCGATGATCTGGGGTTCTTGAGTTTGGGACACGAAGTGATGATAGGCGTACTGAGGGGCGGGTGCGGGGACGGTGGGAGGGCTTCCGTGCTGTCTTGCCCACTGCTGGGCCGGGATAAAAGAGCTCTGGGCGGGGTACGGGCCGGGAAAAGCGTAAGGGCCGTAAGCTCCGGGGCTGTTGTAGGGGGTGTAGAACCCTTGGGGTGTGTGCACTCGCGGTAAGGGCTCTGAGACGGCGCGGCTGGCTGGGTTTACGGCGGTGACGACCGGCTCAGCCTTTTGGGTTGCGGGTTCCTTCTTGGCGGAGTCTTTGGCTGGTGCAGCTGTGGTTGTTGCGTTGCCTTTTTCGGTCTCGTGTTCTGGTTTTACTTTTTCAGCTTCGTGGCCCTTTTTGGCCGCATCGGCTTCTGGAGCCTTTGTCGTCTCTGGAGCTTTTGTTTTGGGCTCTTCGGTTGAGGTGTGTTCCTTTGAGTCGTTTTTCTCTGCACTCTTGGGTTGTTCGTCTTGCGGTTGGTCCTGTTTTTGGTCCTCTGCGGATATTTTGGAGTCGAGTGAGCTCTGTTCAGCATCCCTTGCCTTTGCGGAGCTTAAATCTTCGATCTGTTCGTCACCATTATTGTAGTCACCATACTCGGCAAAAACAAAACTCACACAGAAGAATAGAAGCGAAAGCCGGAGAATATTCATGACGGGAGAGGAATATTCAGATTAGATTGATAAAACTTTTAAGTGACTGACCCCCGAAAAACGAACTTTTCGATAAAATTTGTGATAAAACTCCGCGAAGTTACCGACTTAACGCAAAGTCAGTTTCAAAGTGGCAGAATTTTGGAAAATGAGGACAGAGGAAAAATTCTCGCGTCGATTTTGCAGACGCGGGAAAGAAGAAGAAAGAAAGCCGTTGTGCAACGCGCTGCTCAGGTGGTTTATTGTAGGTTTGCGGAGATATTTGTGATGATTGCCGATTCTGAAACGATAAACAACGCAGCAGATTTTCGCCAAGTCATTAAACTGAGTAGGCGACGACTTGAGGTCTCATGCGAACCAACGATTTCCTTCTTTTACTTGGCCGGACTCGTCTCGTATCATCCTTGCCACATTGTCCAGAAATTTCATCAAGTAAAGCACTGTATCCCTGTAAAGTTCAAGAGATTTCCCTGATGAGTGATGATGTCACTACGTGACGTCTTTTTACAGATGAAAGAACGGAACTTCAATTCAACGCCGCGAAATCTCTCATCGCAAATTGTACTTTTAGTAGGAACATGGTCAGAATTTCTGAATGAAAACTTCACTGATTTCACTTAATGGAGCTTCTGCCTAAGACTCTGAGATCGTCGTCAGACGCGAGAATCAAAATTCGATTTGGGTCGTGCAAACCCGAGTTGAAGCGGAGAAATTCTTGGTTGGTTAAGGCTCTGTCGTATAATCTCTTGCAATGAGCTGAGGTTTGGACATTTACATAATGATTATGGTGAAAATGAGATGGCTCGAGTAAATTTTGAAACCTTGGAATGTTCCTCTGACTAGAAAATGACGATAGTATGTAGTATGCTCTAGTTGGATACCGAAGTTCAGCTTATATAATCTATCAACAGCCTACTTTTTAATATCATGGATAAATCGTCACCTTCTGGCCAAAGTATCTCAAGCGCCATGCAATATTTCAAAATTTCCGCCGCCATTTTATTTTTTTACAGAGACTTTGTTGGTTGAAACGGATATACCATTTCACTGAATTCTATCGGCAGCATCAAGAAAATTCAGCGAAATTTTCGGACAGCTTCGTTGAAAAATTTCTCTGTAAAAAAATAAAGCTTCCAGGACTTTATGTCCACCTACCTTGCGTCCATTAAATAAATGGCCACTAAACGTTAAGTCCAGTCTTTATGAAGTCCACATGATTTAATGTCCAACCATGAATATGTCCAAAATTGTCCAAATTGTGGACATGTTATGTCGACATTTTTTTCTTCTCATTTAAATGACAGGAACCACCTCAAAAATAAATGCATACTACTACTACCCTCATTCTTAAAAACACTTCATTCATGAATCAAGTCATGAAAGAGTTCGTTAGTTACAGACTCTAGGAGCACATAAAAACATATGTTCATGTGTACACTGTACGGATATGATAAGATGATAACCAAAGCGGGAGCCTAGAAAACGCTCCAATGCCAAATTAAACATTTTTCAGTAACAGATGCAGTCAAAATTGAAAGTCCTCTTTAACTAGTTATTTCGCGCGCCTTCAATCTTGTAGGATACTGTGCAACGCCTCTGACGCGAAATAGTTGCTCAAAGCGTTGCGGCGCGGCAGGCGACCAGCGTGACACGCGCAAAGGCGCCTACAAACCTAACGGGATACTTCAAGCGTTGCGCATTGCGTGAAGTATCCCGTTAGGTTTGTAGGCGCCAGTGCGCGTTCTGCGCTGCTAACACGCCGCTCCGCTCTGTGTTAGGCTCTAATATTTAAACTCGCGGAGTCAGCGTTTTTCAACTCATGAGTTTGAAATAGTTGCACTCTCTGCATTGATTATTCCCTTTTAAACTGATGAAAAAGAAATATGTACTACTGGAAAATATAATGTGTTTTTTGTAAATATAATAGTGGTTCCGTGTCAAATTTAATGATTTCCGAAGCATTCAAATTTATACTTTTATGTTTTGGGCTTTCACTGTGCTGCAGCGTGGTGTAAGCGCAACTAAAGGCTCAAAATTGGACGTATTTGACTCAAGAAGGTCGATGTACATGTACAATTAAGTTAAAAACAAAAAATTGCGTGCTTCTAGTTTTTTTCCTCTTTTATTACTTTTTGTATAGTTTCTTCCATCGCAACTACGGCTCATTGAGATTCATATCGATGCCATTGCTTGGAAAATGTTTTTAAATATTTACCACGTTTTAAAAATGTAAATGTTTTTAAAATGAAGTAATCAATTTCATTAAAAAAAAAAAGAATGTACATTTAAGGCATATTTTATATCGGAAATTTCAAGGATAAAAATGAAACCAAGTATTTACCAAAGACAACTTGAAAAGATGAATCAAAAGAAGAAGTTAACATTTCATTTAAAATATGAGTTACGATAACAACACTTTACTCTCTCTTAATTTTCTCATTTTGATATTGCCAATATAATTTGACACACGGACTAAAATATAACGCTTAAATTTGATTTTAGTGGACTTTACCTAATGGATGTTTAAGTAATGGACTTAACATTAGTGTGGGCTTCAGAACTGTGGACGTAACAATTATGGACGAAAAGTCTGTGGACGTAAAAAAAGTAGACATATAATCCGTATGTACCAAAATAAAATAGCGTCCGAAAATGTTTAAACGTCACATGGCGCTCGTGATACATTCGCCGGAAGGTGACATTTTTGTTCGTTGAATAACTGGAGTTTAAATTTTATTCTGGATGTGTAAAGATGTTCAACTTTCGGGGCTTTTTTATAATTTCTAATACTACGTTTGATAAATGGAGAACTCACAATCTGCCCAAAATTAATTTCATGATGACTTGCATATTTATCAATTGATGATTTTTCCAGACTGGAGACAGTTCGACTTCGAGGAGTTGTTCGTAACATTTTGCAGTTTATTACAATTCGCCAGTTTCCACCTGCAGATAAATCCCTTCCGTCCCTTAGCAAAAGTCGATGGTGGATCCCTGCTGCCACCAAAGTCCTAGCACTGATATGTAAGTATCAACTGTACGTATTTGGTGCATTTAGACATGAGCCCTGAGATCCATAAGAACATATGCATAACAGGGCTCACGTTATAATGCACATAGTTTCATCGATAGAACTACGTCCAACTGATTTAGTTTGAAAGCAGAAATGAAATATTACCTGATACCACGTTTACGCCTTGCAGAGGCTCCTTATGCCTACCTGGTTATTTGAAGGCGAATTTTTCGATATTCACTGGGGCAATGGCTCAGTTGTGCTGGTTACAGAATTGTGTTTTGGCGCATGACTCTAGTAGATTAGCTAAAAATATTAAGATCTGTCCAAACCGCAACTTTCTATTCTACGTTCAATATTAACCGAAAAATCGCCCTTTGAAAAGTCGGGTTTTTGACATCATCCACAGCGATAGTGACACCCGGGAGACACATACATTAGCACCGGTTACTCTACGAGCAACGCGATGAAAGCTAGGTGGAAAAAACCAAGGGTGTCACTATCGCTGTGGATGACGTCAAAAACTCAACTAATCTCGGTTAATATTGAGAGTAGCAAAGTTGCGGTTTAGACAAATCTTAATATTTTCAGCTAATGTACAAGAATCTGTCATCAAAACACAATTCTGTGACCAGCGCAACTGACCCATTGAACTTCAAAGGTTGCTTTATATTTGTCTCGGATGATGCTTCTTGTAGATATCGCTCCCTCTCCTTGAAGGAGCTGATTTAGCTCTGGAGAGAGTAGAGTGGTTTTCACTGGAAGCCCCCCTCAACTTTTAGCGTGCGTATTTGGCCGGTGCGCATCTTTTGGAGAGCCTTACACTTTTATGTGACCGAGGTGAACAATTTCAAAACTTATCCGACGATGAAGTATTTGCCGTTATAATAAGTTTAAAAACTGACATTTTACACAAGAAATAAACTGAGAAGCACAATCATGTCTGCTCTCATTTTTTCATGGACAGTCCGAGAACTGGAAGACTCGTTCGTTGGGAGAAATAAATATTTACTTCTCACAACAGTAGCTGGGTGGTACATACAAAATGTTATCAACCTTTAATGTTAAAATCACCCAGAGGAAAAATGCTTGTATAAAATTAAAATTATCAAAATGCAGTCGATGTTAGTTATTGTAGATTGGCGCTGATGACAGACTTCAGAGGAAATCGATGCGTCTTATGAGCACATTGTATTCCTGAAGATGTTATGTAGGTGTACGTTATAACTTGAAAATTTCATTTTGACTCAGATGCGGCCAGTAACTTGACTGTACCACCTATGCTGGACTACACCGAATTCTACAACTCAGCACTAGACCACATCGACTTGATGCAAGATTATTACAATTGGCAATCCACGCACAATAATAAACAATTCGCCTACTGCCAATATCCTTTCATACTAAGCATCGTTGCCAAAAGAGTCATCCTCACGAAAGTAAGTAGATTTTTTCTCAGAAGAAAAAATTGATTTGCCATCCATTTGCTATCAGTAATTCTTTACTATACGTGTTCCGGCTCAAAGCTAAATTGATATTTAAACATGTCCAGTCAGTTAAAATAATAAACTAAGGGTTAAGTGCGCAGACATGTTGAATGTTATTATTTTCAAGTCTTTCAAGTTTAAAGTTGAAAATTCACGTACATAATTTTAGAGCATGAAAGTTTGAACTAACTTTAAGAGGCTACAAATTGAGGGCTGAAATATCTCACATTTTATATGTGATGGTTCTTGTAAACCAGAGGATAACTAGTAACTTAATTTTCTAAGGTGGAGGTAAACAATCGCTCAGTTTTTTAAAAAAAAAAACTCACTTCACGTGCTCATGAATTGGACTTGTAATCCATGATATTCAGTCACAGAGGAATTTTTATATTTTCATGAATTCTATACAAAATTCATGTAAATAAAATAATGCAAGTACTAATTTCAGGATTCAGAGCAGCAAATGATTCTGCGGGCCCGCAGATCGTTAGCTGCAAAAGTGGCGCGACATCAAGCTCCTCAAATAGACATATTTTTTCTAAACATTAGGGTCAGAAGATCACACTTAATCAGCGATTCTCTAAACGAGGTAACTATTATATTACTAAATTCATGCTTTCATTTTTTCAAAGTACACGCAAATTTTCATACATTTAAATGTAATCAAAAAGGAACAAAAAAACCTAAAATATGGAATTTGAGAGAAAAATAGCTGGTTCGCCTGTTTCACATTATTTGAAAATATCTCAATCAAGTCGGCAAACATTCTAGGAAGCTTGAGTGGAGCGTATGCAAGTTCCGGGAACGAAGATGATCAGATTTTAATTGAACTGACATTGTCTCATAATTTTCAAGAGATTTCCCTAAACTAGATGTTTACTTAGTGCCCCTGCAACTTGACTTCTTGGCACTTTTTGGCGGGTCTTTGGTCAAATATAAAAATTTGCGTAAAATTCGTGTAAGCAGCATCTTGGATTCTTAAAACTCACTACAATGTCGCACAGAATTCGTGGATTCAGCTAGGTCTAAGTCATAAAATATTCCGTCCGTTCAGACGGAGTCTATTGCGGAATCCCTTCTCCTGAACACGAAATCACTTAAACAAATTCAAAGAAGGGTACGAGGTGCCGAGTTGGTTCCGTCTTCATTTTCTGTTAGTGAAATCAAGTTGAAAAAAAAACATATCCTTAAATTTTCCACCAAGAAGTATTTTTTCTTAAATCAAGAATTTTGCTGCTTAATATACACTACTTTTTTGCTAAACTCAAGCATTATTTTTCTTGTATCTAGAAAAATTCAACTTAAATCAAGATAACAGAAAAATTCTTGCAGGCAGATTCAAGAATCAGAGTGCTTGAGCCAAGCACATTTTTTTGTTAGGAAGTCAAGAGGAAAACAGCTGCATCATGATTCACATGGAGTGCAGCGCTTTTTGCTCACTTTAAAAAAAAATGAAAAACGCGGTTCTTTTTAGCCACTTTTTGTCTAGATGTCCCTGGAAGTATATCGACGTTTCCTCACACAATAACCCACTTAAGAAATGTTGTTTGTGCTTTTCACAGATAGCAACTAAACAGAAAGATTTGAAGAAAAAGCTGAAGGTCTCATTCATAAGCGAACCCGGTCTGGATATGGGTGGTTTGACGAAAGAGTGGTTCCTCCTGCTCATTCGACAAATCTTCCACCCTGATTATGGAATGTTCGTGTACCACCCCCGATCAAACTGTTATTGGTTCAGTGTCGCGCAAATTGAGAACTTGCAGGAATACAACCTGATTGGGGTTTTGATGGGACTCGCTGTTTATAACTCCATCATCCTTGATCTCCATTTCCCGACGATTTGTTACAAAAAACTTCTCTCGCCACCGATTGTGCCTATAAATGTATCCAGTGTGGGAATCATTCGGAGACCGACTATTGAGGATCTTGCTCAAATCATGCCGGTACGTTATTATTAATGAAATCGGTAGCACTGAATTCATAACTGCCTTCCATTTTTCTCTATCACGTAAGAATTTTTCGAAATAGTTGGGGAATGATAGAGGTTTAATAGATAGCCAATGATACGTATAGTGATAGGCGTGTGAGATGCCTGAAAAATTCTCTCACTTCTCAGTTCTGACTTTTTTTGGCCGACTTAAAAATCTTATCCCATGTGCGAAATTTTATTCGTTTGATTTCCGTCTACAAAGGAAGAAAAAAAGGCTTTTCTGCATGTATTTAATGAGAATATTCTAATATACTTTTGGCTGCTGAAGCCGAGGATGATTCTGACTTTATTCCAATTAACCACCCTTTTTTGGAAAAACGAAGTTTCCGAAAATTGCCAATTTTAACCCTCAGAACGACCTTTTGCCGCACTAACGGAAACAAATGTTTCTATTGATGGATTAATGCTACGTGCATAAGTCTTGGGAAATATCTATTTTCAATAGAAAATCTAGATATTATCTATGAAAAATAATCTAATAAATCTCGACCTCCCTCTGCAAGATGACTTTTGACAAAATGATTCAGCTTAGCTCTAAAACGTAATGTGATTCATTAGACCCATAATTTTGAATTCATAAAACAAATGTAGGCTTAAGAATATTTTTCTACCGGAGAATTTTTGTAAAAGGTAAAACATATAGTAAAAATAAAGGCTACATTTTGCAACCGTTGGATACATTCGTCATTCAATATTCAATTCGTTAGGATGCGAGGTACATAATCTAACGTCTAGACTCACATCTTTCGAATCGTCTCTCGGTTCATCCACCGTCGCGTTTCGGATTTCAAAATACGCGTTTTCAACGGATCAAACAGCTGCCAACTCGGAAATGTTACAAAAAGTAAACAAATCCTCCTCCTAGCAACCTGTCACCTCTAAACGAGCATCAGGTGACCATCAGGCTTGCATTGAACTCCCGGATCAGAGACGAAAATATGTATTATGAAAATAAGAAGTTTACATTATATTTCCTACAAAATTAATGATCTGTACTGATCATATAGACTCACAAACAAACATTTTTGAGGCGACAAGAATCAAAATAAGTAATCTCCTCTTTTTTGCAAAATTCAGTCAAGAACACGTTCATTCCCGAAGGCTTTTCTAGAATATTGACTCCGTTTGAATCTAAATAAATAATATTCATGCTACAATTTCGAATTTTGGATTAAAAAGGATAAAATCCATGAAAGAATATTCAAGATCATTTAACTCTTAAATTGATAGTTAATACATCCGGCATTTGTGTCCCTGACGTGCAAAGATTCTCCATATGCATATTAAAAACATTGGTAGCCATTACTTAAAGGCTAGTCTAAAGATGCCCTAAAGTCCCAAAAATTGCATTGCATTGTGTTGAATTTTGTTATTGTATTTTCTCCAGGTTTTAATCCGTTGGTTATAGGGCTGCAGGAATAATATTTGGCTTAAAAAAATCGTGTGATAAAGTAAAATATAAGTACATATAAGTAAAAACCATTGACAGGAACTACCAAAATTTTAAAGCTCTTTAAACAAGTAAACCTCAAAATTTAAGGTGATTTCCTGGTCTTTGAAGTAACGACTGGTCGTCGTAACTAATTAACTATACCTATAATTGATAAAGGGTGCAAAAGGTGTGACAAAATATATAATATTACTTGATGATCGAATACGAGATTCACTTCAAGAATATTGAAACATTCAATATTTTTATGGATTTGTTTATCTGTTGTAGGATATTTCGAAGAGTTTAACCGAATTGTTGATTTACGAGGGGAACGTGGAGGATGATTTATGTCAAACTTTTCAGGTTTGTCTCTGTCAAAATTTAAATCTGTAGAAGTAATTAAAAACCAATTTCTCGTTTTTAGTGACCCTTTTTTGTTAATTATAAAAGCAGAGGTCTTCTATATTCAGAGATTGACACATCACATTCATGATTAATTGAAAACATTTCATTTTGAAAAGTAATGGATTCAGACAATTGAACTCGGGGCGTCGTTCGTTACACATAGTCCCGGCAAAGAATCGAGCACCTCACTTATAAATCGCTGACACTGGTTTTTTTGACAGTCTGAGTTTTACGAAATTTAAAAAACACCATTGTTTGAGAATGCTTGGGAAATCAGAGTCCAATTACCAGCCCTGTTGTCTATTTTTGTTAAAATATTCCTCAGAAATTTGGCTTTACTTTTTCATTCACAATCTGTGCGATCCTTATTTTACAGTCATGCTGTTGAATGAAACCAGCAAAAATTACTTAAAAACTCCAAAAAAGGGAAAAAAATCAAATCACTTTTCACTCAAGTACACAGTATGAGGACCTATATTTCAATATTTTTTGGTACGCAGGGCCGCATTTACCTACTTGCCGCCCATGGGCCGCCTATATTTTGCCGCCCCTTCTCATCCGTCCTGAAACATCACTAAAAACCATCAAACGAACGTGCCAGCGGGGGAGGGGTGCATAAGACGCGTTTACTCGTGTTGAACACATTTTTTGGGAAAGCCCTGTCAACACTACTAGCGAAAGGTCACGGAACTTTGCGCGAAAGTCAAGTTTCGTAAACCTATCTCTGTGTGGACAAGGCCTTCCATTCATATGAAATGAACGAAAAGATTATGAAAGAACAAACATAAATGTGGATTAATGATTTTAACTTCCGCCGCCGCGCCTCGCAAACCGCACTGTGTTTGGCGCAATGCGTGAAGTATTCACGCAGTCTTGTAGGCGCTACGCGTCTCGCTCTGATCGCACTGTGTTTGCCGCAATGCGTGAGGTATTCATGCATTCTTGTAGGCGCTGTCTGTTTCACGCTGTCCGCAATGACCGCAGTGTGTTTGATGCAATGCGTGAAGTATTTGTGCAGTCTTGTATAGGCGCTAATATGTGTTACATACCGATCGCCGCGCCGAGGCTTCTCATTTTTATCTCAAGTCCTCGTCATCACCTCGTCCTACGCCGCGCCGTTCCAGGCCAAATTGCGTGTTTGATTTCTTTCTTTACTCGACTAATTAAAGGTGATGTCTCTTGTATCACTGAAAGACGACAAAAGTAGAAATTACTATATTCTCAGAAAATTAGAGATTTTGTCGCCTTTTCTCGTTTGTAGTTTTTTTTTCTGAATCCGAATTTTTTTTATACCTACATTTAAAAAGATTGCAAAATTTGCCGCCCCCTATATGTAGATTTGCCGCCATGGGCCGCGGCCCATGTGGCCACCCCCTTAATCTGGCCCTGTTGGTACGCACATGCTTTGGATTGTATTTTGCAATGCGGAAGTACAATGGGTCTGTTGCATGCAAGAGATACAGCCGTGCGAATAGACTTTTCAGAGGTTAAATGACACAAAAATTACGATGGTCACATTAAAAAAGTCTGAAATACACTCCTCACTGCGCAATTTGCGTTGTTAGGAACGCGCTTTTTCAAATTTCCCGCGTCTGGGGGCAGTTTTTTAACAGAAACAATTAACGGCAACTCGCGGCTATTTCCGGTCAACTAAAACTGACAACATAACCTAAAAATCGGAGCTCGTGATATCGTGAAATGAAATGTAGGAGGATTGCGTTGGATATTTAAAATTTGATCGATTTGGTTAGCGCATAAAGCGTATATGGACCACTATAAGTGATCACGTTGGGTTTGTAAACAAACTGAAGGAAAATTAACAACAACAACAACTCGGCAGCTTCCGGAAATCACCGAGCCCGCCGTTTGCTCGTTTCCGGTGATTAGAAAACTGCCCCCAGACGCGGGAAATTTGAAAAAGCGCGTTCCTAACAACGCAAATTACGCAGAAAGGAGTGTATTTCAGACTTTTTTTTTTTTGACCATCGTAATTTTCGTGTCATTTAACCTTTAAAAAGTCTATTCGCGCGGCTGTATCTCTTGCATGCAACAGGCCCATTTCTGGCTCACACATTAAAAAACCTATCACATAGGGAAACTAATGACACATATGTTGTATCCATAATGAGCTAAAAATTTTAGTTCCCATAATTGCAAAATGTGCTCCATTTCTGAACAATAACATGAGCTACAGGAATTCTATCTATGCTGTAAGTTTTAAAACCCGCCAGTCATGGTTCAGATAGTTATCATTTCATAGTATTATTTAATTTTGTAGATCCTTTAGCTCACCAATCCTGTCATTTTTTAATCACACTTGCGAAATTTTTGTTAAAAGGTTTCTTTTGAAGAATTTGGCAGAGTGGAGACATTCCCTCTAAAAGAGAGCGGCGAAAGCATAGCAGTGACCAACGAAAATCGAGAGGAATACGTTCAATTATACCTAGACTGGGTGCTCAATAAGGCTATATTCGAGCAATACCGTGCATTTTACCTAGGATTTCACAGCGTTTGTGCATCTAACGCTCTCTTGGTAATAATTTGAATATTCAGTAAAGTGAAGTTAGGCTCGTTAAATGACTAATTAAACACCAAAAATTAGAGAAAATTTCAGAGATGGCTGACTTGAGATTCAAATTTTTAAAAGAAGGTGAAACCGGGTGGAACATAAGAAAATCTCCATCAAATAATTGTTTGCCTTTTAGTGTCAGTCCCCTTTTCACAAAATTCTTCCGGGCACATTGCCATTAATTGCCTGAAATTTTCGATGCTCAAAAATCTGAAGTATAAGTCTGTATTTGCATAGTGGTGATTCTGGCAAGTTGACACCATAGTTTTCCTCAAACATTTTTCTCGCTTTGAAAGGTACAGCCAACTACCAAGTTTTCAGATTTTAAAATTTCTTAATGTTTTTATCCTACTAAGGGAGGATGAGTTTTCAGCCGAAACGTTTTGGTGGTTCCTATTTATGTAAAAATTAGCCCTGTTACCCGCTGTTTGAATTATTATTATTGTAGTTTTCCTCGAAGTAACCCCAGTATAAACATTGATTCTTGACGAGGTAGCTTGCTTCTTTTATGGTTTACGCACTTACAAATCGATTGTTTGTAATAAAGAGAAATCTTCACAAACTGGCAACAAGAGTGGACAGTGTATTGCCAACATAAAAATCCTCCAATGTCCATATTCCCTCAACTTTCTGGTCTACCACGAGCAGATCAAGTAAAATTAACCAGGCTGTGCTTTGGGCACACGTCTTTCACCCACCAATACATAATCAAAAAAGTCCAACCCCCAACCAGCATCTCTTGTAATGTCCCTCTCTCAGTTAAAAATGTTTTAGTAACTTGCCCTACATATCAACAATTAAGATCCACAATTTCCCCTCCACTTTCTGATCTCCATACCATCCTTTCAAAGTATTTTCGTGAAATCCCTCTCTTTTTCAAACGAATTAATCTCCTTTAATGTATTCTTTCTTTGTCCTAATTTTTGATTTTGTACTACCTTTTGTGACCCCTGCTTTTTAAATTTTTAAATTCTGTACTATTTATTTTGATCTATCCTCTAAGGTGTTAATGGCTCAATTGTTAAAAGCACCAAATAAACGTATCTACCAACCAACCGTGCACTTAGATGGACGGAAAACGATGTTGCCAACTTCCAATAATCGGCACCGCTTTCCAAATATTAACTAGAGTTCGTGACATGGGAGTATTTCAACTCCACAGACTTAATTTCGCCGAAACTGCTGAGTTCGTAGGAACTACTTCCGCAATTTTTTTTTGGCTAAGTTCCTTCGTGCTGACGATGTCTCACCCTGTTGATAATTTATTTTGATGCTAGCGAACTTAAGACGAAAAAGAGCAACAGCTCAAGGCATATTTTGTCAATGAAAAGCGCTAAGATAAATGTACGCAGTATTTTTTCTAGCCTAGTAATGAAGTTTTTCTGGTCAATAATGATTCAATCTTGCACTCCAGCTTTCGCATTAAACTCATGATTCGATTTGGTTGCCAATTGAATGGGATGTACGTTCTTTTATTCAAATTTTCATTTCCACTCACTTGATATCGTAGGCATTTCTGTACAGTAATGCAAAATAAAGTTTTATTGATAGGTGAGCTAAATTTCAATTTGTTTGCGTTTGATTACAGTTGCTCAGACCTGAAGAAGTAGAAACTTTGGTTTGCGGTTCTCCTACTATAAATATCACTGAACTAAAGAAAATTACGTCCTACGAAGGTTTCAAACCCAATGATCCGATCATCAAGTAAGTATTGTTTAGATTTCTCAAACTTAAAATAAATTTTTACGTCTCCAGAATGCATCGGGGCTTATAAGAAAATCTATTCATATTTTGGCATTATCTTTCACGGTCATTCTAGAGCGTTCGGTAAAATTGATGTAATATTACATCTGTTTTAAACTGTTCGTATGTAAGGAGAAAAATTCGACCACCCTTGTGTCCTTATAATGCAATACATTATTTACCGTTTCTTTGAAATGACTATGATTTTAGCCAAGTTTTCGATACATTCATAAAGTTGAGAAAAATTAAGGTTTGCATCTGAACCCATTTTGAAAATACATGATAACATCAAAGAAACCCTGCTTTGACCTGAATAAACTGAAAAACTCCCTACTTCATAAAGTATCTATCAAACAGATCGTATTAGGAGATAATAAAATCATCTTGCAGGATACACAAGGCAAAGACTATATGGATTACATTTTGCAATAAGAAACCACTAGCTCTGGTTCTTGCATGAAAACACCTCTCTGCCTGGATGAACCAATAGCATATATGTTGTTTCAAAAATGAGCCAGAAATAATGGTTCCTCATTGCAAAATGTAGTCCTTATAAGCAAATTGCTAAAATTATAAAAATTTGAGGGAATGAGGATTTTCCGGTTTCATGTGAGAGACTGAAAAACTGGATTCTTTGTTTGCAGGCGCAATAAAAATTAATTTTGATGTCATAAAATTGCAATTCAATGATCTACAGTAAAGGATGGACGGATGAAGGGATAAAGGTGGCGATGTGGTGAGGGGGTGGGTAACAGGCGTTCCAATTCACTGAAAAAAATGTGCTTGGCTCAAGCATGCAGATTCTTGAATTTCCTGCCAATAATTTTTTCTCTTGATTAAAGCTGAATTTTTCTTGATACAAGAAAAATAATGCTTGGGTTGAGCAAAAACGTAGTTTATATTAAGCAGCAATATTCTTGATTTAAGGAAAAATACTTCTTGGCGGCGAATGGAGATGTTGCATGTGTGAGGAATTTGTGGAGGGCTACCCTGAGAGTCCACTTTTACATCAAGACAAACTCTCCATGCAAAGATAGGGAGCAAATACATTGACAGGGCTCCCACTTTATTTGGGGACTCCAAAACTGAAAACACGGCATCATTGCTAATGTATTTGCTCCCTATCTTTGCATGGAGAGTTTGTCTTGATGTAGAGGTGGACTCTCAGGATATTGTGGGATATCCCCTCCATTTTAGCCTCGACTTGAGAGCTTTTTTTTTGAGCTTGGGAGTTAATTTCAGAGAAAACCAGTGACACCATCGTGTTTCTTGCGAACTTTTACGTAAGAATCAGTGGTTACGTCGCAAATTCCACCTGCAACATCTCCATTTATGATTCTTTTTTTTTCAGTGACAAAAATTGAGTGCACAAAAACTTGATGATGGTATAGTGAAGATGAGTGATTTCTTGGACTTGAAACTTGTTTCAGGGATTTTTGGAAAATTCTAGACTCGCTATCCACCGAGCTGAAGAAAAAATTCCTCCTTTTCACGACGGGGAGCAACCGCATTCCGGTCGGGGGCATGGAGGAAATGACGTTCAAAATCACGAAGATGATCAACAAGCGTGAGAACCTACCGGAGGCACACACTTGCTTCAATCAGCTCGTGCTTCCCGAGTACGAAACGACGGACGAGCTGAAACAGAAGCTCATCATCTCAATATCAAACGCTGAGGGTTTTGGACTGGAATAAGAATCTTAATGGTGCGGGGTTAATATTTGTACATATTTTTATTGTTTTAAATAAATAGAGCTTCTATGAGGTCAGGTGGTCGAAACGCTTTCATCACTGTCACTGTTAAAAATGGCCTCTATTTATTTAAACGCTCTTCCGTAAATTAAATCTCAAAATAATGGCATGGTTACACGATCAAATTCCCGTCAAATTCCGATCAAAATGATGACCAAGATGGCGGTCGATAGTTATCTAGATTGATGAGTAAAATTAATGAAAACAGCGTGTTGATTGAAATAAGCACGAAATAAGCACGGTTGTGTGGAAATCAGATAAAGGATGAGCCCCACAGCTCCATCACCTACCATCAAATTTTTGCAGGCCGCAGAAATTTGATGGTAGATGGTGCGCACCAGTCACCATTTGATCGGAAATTGATGGAAATTTGAGCGTGTAACTGTAACCAGCGCATAAGCCGAAACTGCAAGCTTAATAGGCATTAATACACGATCAAATTCTGATCAAAGTAGACCAAGCGATGACTGATGGTCACCATGCAACAGTCCTCTCTGATCAAAATTCGAGGGGCCGTCAAATTTTGTTCAGAATGGAGTGCCACCATCATTTCCTGCTGCACGAAACATTTCTGCCAAGTTTTCATTTCAGAGTCAATCAGAGGAACGATTTTAAGACTGATGACTCCTGACTTTTTGATGGTAATTGGTTCAAGAATTTGATGGTGTATCGAGACCTAATCGGATTTTTAGACAGCTGTAAGGTTATCATTAAATCCACAAAGTACTCCTAATGTATTTTGCCGAGTCAACAATAAAAACTTTTATATTGATATTATATGAGGATATAATTACATAATTTATTGAAGGTGGAAGAAGGCTGAAGCACAGAGAGACTGACCATAACGAATTGCACAACGGTTTTCATGGACATGCAACAGGATTAGTTGCAGGGCTTCGTGGCCCAGCAACAAAATGTCTATACTTTGAGAATCAACAATTTTCTACTTATATGACTGAGATTATAGTTTACTCGGAGTAAACCGACAAAACACCTTCCCTTTGGTCTTACCTTACCTAACTAGTCCTAACGAGAGTCTTTAGATCAAAATGATAATTGAAATTAAAACACTCTATAAGTAAATATTCTACCGAAATGAAATAAGGTTAGATTAAACAGGGAATTTTTTGCCTTGAAATGTACCAATCACATTGACTAGAGTCTGACTCTACCTCCTGAGTCACATTGACTACCTGCATCGTCGTCCTCGGTTTCTGGCGCTATCGTCAAGAAACTATGTCATCGTAGATAGCCCACGAACAATCATCCCGAGTTGTCTCATAGTAAGTGCTTTATAGTTTACTTACAAACCATTCATAAAACAAATTAATCTTAGTGCTAAAACCGACTTCTAAAACTTGTATAAAACAAATTATTCTTAGTCCTATGACTGACTTCTATTACTAAGGTTCAATACAATTTATTCTTGAATTCAAGCAAGCAAACGAGGATCATGCCCTATTCGAAAGTAGGCTCTACGCATCGTCACGCTTCGGCGAAATGTAAAGCCCCTTCAAAACTCACGAATGCAACTAATCATGCTCATCACCATGGAGTTGCCTACTTGCTCAAATAAAGGCGAGCACACACGGCTAGCTTTACGATGGCCGATCCGACCAGAAAGTCATCAATATGACCATTAATTTATTCTCATATACCACTTATGTTAAGGCCACAGCAGAGGCCATAGTTGCAGTTGCGCCGAAAAATTAAGTACTCTTACTTCATTTTATTGTTTTCATTAGGACAGAAATAGTTTAGGCCTCCAATACTTTTATCTTTGTTTCCGTAAATTTACTTTCCCAGGTGTTCGGTTTCTATATTAATCCTCATGAAAAAATTGAAATTAAAGTAAAAGATAAATGCGTGATTAAGATGAAAATTGTTGTAAATTAGCTCATTATAAATGATGATTTGCATTCGATAGTTTTGAATGAAATGTTCAAGGATGGTATTTTTCTCCCGAGACAATATAATACAGGGTTATCCAGAAGTCTGGGACCCCCCTTATAACTTTTGAACAAAAATGCTAGGGATTTGAAATTTGGGGAATGTTCCTAAGTCAAAGGGAACTACTTTTTGGCGTACCCAAAATTTTGGGGGGCGCCCCCCCCCTGAGGGGGGGGGCGGACCCTAACTTTTTTTTTCAAATGGGAACCCCTATCTTGTGATACATCATTCGAAAGGGCTTAAAAAAAGAAAACTTTTGGCGCAAACCGATTGTCGATACCTCAATTTTTAACAAAATGGCGGCCAAAAAATGGCGGCTCATTCAAAAGTCTGGGCCTCCGCTCATAACTCATGAACAAAAAATGCTAGGGATTCGAAATTTGGGGAATATTCCTAGGTGAAAGGGAACTACTTTTTGGCGTACCCAAAATTTCGGGGGGCGACCCCCCTGACGGGGGGCGGACCCTAACCCTTTTTTTTCATATAGGAACCCCTATCTTGTGATACATCATTCGAAAGGGCTTGAAAAAAGAAAACTTTTGGCGCAAACCGATTGTCGATACTTCAATTTTTAATAAAATGGCGGAAATGCGTTTTTTGGTTATTTACCGTCGGATTCGCTTGAAATTTGGTTTCCACAGGTTTTCGAGCACGAAAAAACAAATACGATATTGGATTTGCAAAATACCCGAGCTTTTCCAAGATGGCGGCCGAAAAATGGCGGGAAAATAAGTTTAAATCGGAATGTGTCAGATTTCCTGTGCGGTGCTCTCAGCCAGTTGAAAATCGTGTTTCCTGACTTGTCATTTCAACCACCCAGGACTCACCCCGTGGTTTGGTTGTTTTTTTCGTGCTCGAAAACCTGTGGAAACCAAGTTTCAAGCGAATCCGACGGTAAATAACCAAAAAACGCATTTCCGCCATTTTTTGGCCGCCATTTTGTTAAAAATTGAGGTATCGACAATCGGTTTGCGCCAAAAGTTTTCTTTTTTTAAGCCCTTTCGAATGATGTATCACAAGATAGGGGTTCCCATTTGAAAAAAAAAAGTTAGGGTCCACCCCCCCTCAGGGGGGGCGCCCCCCAAAATTTTGGGTACGCCAAAAAGTAGTTCCCTTTGACCTAGGAACATTCCCTAAATTTCAAATCTCTAGCATTTTTTGTTCAAAAGTTATAAGGGGGGTCCCAGACTTCTGGATAACCCTGTATGAACAAAGTAAGCCCAGCCGTTTTAATATGGCTATATTTGAAGTTTTTAAATGCTGCATTTATGATCGCACCACCGTGGGTGACACATTTTAAGATTGAGAAAAAAATGCCTTGACGTAAAATGAGGCTCCAGATAAAATTTTCTGGAGCAACTACCGGGCGTTTTATTGCGTTTCATTAATGGATACAGAAAATCGGATTGGTTCCGAAACGCACACCTTCTTTTTTCTATGGATTTATGATGTGCATCTTTAAAGTGAAATTCCACAGAAAGTAAGAAAACGTCGAAATATCGAACAAATACACTGTGATACTGGTCTCACTTTACATTGGGTAATAAACGGATCCATTAGAAGTCTAGAGACGCAGCACAGCTGTTGATTCTTAACATATTTCTACTGTGGAATCTAACTTAAAGTTGAAAGTATTTGAACGCGTAAATAACCGTTCTACGGGACTAATATAATGCAATATTTTGCTTGAGGACATCTTCAGCTTTATTTTAGGGTTTGCACAATTGAGTTAGAGGAAGCAGCTTAGATGTGCCGTTAGGTGAAATTAAACCACTCTCCGAAAATTTAAAGAAAAACCAGTAAATTAGCAAAATTTGTTCCATATCTAGATGATGAGCCGGTGAGGGAGGGGTCACCTTTAAGGTGAGAGCGGAACAGCCTAACAGAGGCGATCCAGCAATTTTGCAACACCGGATTTCCTGCGTTTAAACCTATGTTAAAAAATCGATTCTTGTCAAAGCACCTGACCACTTCAAGAATCGATTCATTTCCATGGGTTTAAATGGGGAAAAAACAATGTTGCCAATTTGTTGGATCCACTAATGCAACCTGTTCCACACAGAAGCGTTGTACAGTGGCGACTCTTGAAATTGGCATTGCAAGGTGTCGCCCCTTTAAAAATGTGGCCGGTATTAATTATTAAGAATTAATTAAAACGGAAAAATAATCAATATCTATCAAAATTTTATGGAGCATCTGGCTTACTTACGAAGAATCGATTCCTTATTATAATTGAGTTACATGCACAGGAAAAACAAAGTTGCGACTGCACTGTACACTGGGAAAAAAAACACATTGGATCTAGAGTCCAGACTTTTAAAAACATCGACAAGAAAAAATGCTCTTGATTCGATCAGATTTAAGCTTAAATCAAGAACCAAGCCTCTTAATTTGAGCGGATTTCGTTTTGATTTAAGCTTGAATCTGATTAAATCAAAAGTATTTTTTCTTGTCGATGTTTTCAAGAGTCTGGATTCTAGATCCAATGTGTGTTTTTTTTTTCCAGTGTGGTGTTATGAAACGAGCAGTGTGAAAGTTTACTCGATCGCTCATTAAATTTAAAATCAAAGATCTTGTAGATAGATTTCCTTTGGATTACGTAAAAATGCGTTATCCTGGACGAGGATCGAATAAATTCGAAGTCGAGGAAGTTACGAGGAACGGCTATCAGTGATAAACTAGAATTCCAGCGGCTTCCCGTCGGTCAGTCGACTTAGCGACACTTCTGCTCCAGCGCGGGATGAAGGGCGGCAAAAGGAGCGACTCCTGTCACTGTCGAATTCATTATTTTGATCGGTGAACGATGCTGCGGCGGCGTTTGGCGTGCGGTAATTGGCGCATTACCGTGCAATTAGCGCTCATGACACGCGAGGAGACATGAAGCTGCAAGCTGAGCCGTGATACGCTAAACGGTCAAGTGACAGCTGAGCTTCCCGCCGTTGCCACGTCTTTGAATTATTTGATCGAAAGAGAGCGGGACACCGCTTTTATCGTTTAAGCGTGGCAAACTTTGAGACAATACTGCCGAATTACTGCAGGGTGATGATTGATATTGATGGACAATGCTATAGA